GAGACGAATGGCAGGAATTCTTTTACCCTCAGCTCAAGCCCTGGGTCCACTACATCCCAGTCAGGCAGGATCTGTCGGATCTCAGGTAGGTCAGCTTGTGTCCTCAGTAGAGATGGACCGATCCGATATTACTATCGGTATCGGTCCGATACTGACCTAAATTACTGGATCGGATATCGGAGAGAAATAAAAAATGTAATCCGATCCATTAAATATCACAAAAGCACCTCACAAAACTTGCAACACGGCGTAACTCAGCTCATAACCTTAGCACGTCGAGCAGTATGCGTCACGTGATAGAGCGGCTGTGGCTGTGGTATAGCTTTAGTGTTTTTGTTTTTTTTAAACTTCAGTATGAACTTATACAAAATGCAGCAAGATATTAAAAAAACAGTTTTATTGATTAAAAATACACTATATCGGATTCATATCGGCAGATATCCAAATTTATGATATCGGTATCGGACATAAAAAAGTGGTATCGTGACATCTCTAGTCCTCAGACGTGTGGATGAAGTCTGTGTGTGCATCGTTAGTTTTGTTGTTTAAATGTATTTGTTAAGACGTCCCTTTGGTTTAGAAAAGAAGATGGCAGCTTGTGTTCGTGGATGGAGGAAAAAAAGAGTCTTTATACAGTGTGTGTGTAGCCTTCTGTCTGTTGTCCAATTTAAAAATGTGAGGCCTTTTATATTCCTTTTATAGAACAAAGGAACGTATTTACAACCAGCTTTGACAATTTAAACCTGATGACACACAATAATAATTTGTTATATAGGTAAATGTGCAAATTTACACATTTTAATTGCATCCGTGAACATATAGCGATACGCTGACTGTATATTTCAAGCCAAAGCGTTTGGATAAATGCCAACAAGCTGGTGAAACAACTAATAGCTTGTAGCAAACCAGAGAGCTTGACAAGAAGGCTGGATGGGGATTTTAAAGTGAGCTCTCAAACTTTATTTGTTACTTTATTTCAGGTTTTATTTTGAAATATCTCTATTCTATGCACGCCCAAGAGTACTATTTGCCAAGTAAGGAAGAATTTGCAAATATAAATGTGTCTGCACTCTGTGTCCTCAGGGAGCTGCTCCAGTTTGTTAAAGAGAACGATGCTATCGCGCAGGAAATAGCTACAAGGTGAGAGATCAGAACTTCATGATTGAGCAGGAGTAGCTGCGATAACCTTCTCCCAGCATCACGTGACTTTTCTGCTTCCCAACCTCTCTACAGGGGGAAGGAATTCATCCTCAACCACCTGCGAATGGAAGATGTTTCCTGCTACTGGGAAAGACTTCTGACCATGTTCAGCCAGCTTCTCACCTACAAACCCCAAAGAAAGAACAGCTACAACCAGATAGTCCACCGAGCCAGCAAAACAGAGCTGTAAGACAGACTGTGTGGGACCAGACTGTGAAGATTCTGACTGTAACTGAACCAGGGCGTACGGTTTCTTTTCAAGCAGCACTGTGTCATGTTGTTAGTATTCTGGTTTTATTTACTGATCTGAAGTCTGACGCTTTAACGCTGTCTTCATATATTTGTGTTTATTACAGTGTTTGAGACCAGTGTGGACCACACAATGACCCACATGTCCACCAGTTAGTGGGCTTAGATTACACAGCTGTACAAGCAGCTGACTGTAGATGCTGCCAGTAATTAATCTGTGCCCACAAGATTCTATCAGTATCTTTTGAAAGAGGGGGAAAGTGTGCACACTGTTTCTCTGTGGTGTATATTCCTCCATCAGATCACGTGACTGACACGTCTCTCTAAAAGAGCCAGCATTTGCAAGAGTACACTAAGGATCCCTCAATCAATGCATTCTTGTGAAAGAATCTTTCACAAGAATGCAATGCAAGAATCTTCAGGTGCCACTAGGGGGCTTATGTGCCAAAGTCCTTACTGATCACTCTGGTTTGATGAGTTCAGTACTTCCAGATGTGACGACTGTTTTTGCGCCTGTTATCCATCTAACCAGCACAAGTGCGTAACTATAACGCATGTTTTTAAGCCACTAAAGAGGCAATCCATTATTTTATACATCAGTTTATTTTTATTTGTCAAAAAGTTATAGCTGTGATTGTTATTTTGATTATATTATAGTGACATTATCAAGGTTAGTGGAAATCATAATGTAAAGGGTATATGTAAAGGAAAATCCAAGGGATTGTTGGTGGATATCAGTTTGGGAGTAACTTTTATAACTAGATTACATGTGAATATTTAGACTCTGTAGGCGAGAGGCAAGAATTTTGGTACTAGAAGCTTTCTGGTTTGTGTTTTGTTGTCCAGATCTGGGTTTTTGAGCAAACTTTGGTTGCATGCAGGTAACTTGTCCATGTAGAGAGCAAAAGAGCAATTACTCCTACTGATGGGCTCCTAGATTGGTCTGACAGTTGTTTTTATTGAAACGAAAACTTTAATTCTCCAGGACAGGATCATAATGGAAATATAATGCATTCCTGTCTTTAAGTCATTGAAAGCTGTAATGGAAATGGACGACAGGTGTTCAGATATTTACAAAAGATGTGTAATTATTAAGTGGTAGTTAAGGATACCAGGTTTACCATGTTGGAAAAATTTAATGAACAACAAATAGTTTGATATTAAATGAATCTATGTTTAGTACAGTTTAGTACAGAAAATAATGTGTAGTCCACCTACCAGACATTAAAGTAGTGGCTAAAACTGGTAAGATGAACGTCTGAGGATCGTGTGGTAGTAGAGTTTCTTCTTTGCCACCAGTGAAGTTGATTGCAAAGCTTTGCTAAAGATAAGTTTTGTTAGACTGCCCTCTACTGGGCAACTGGAAAAACTAGACTTTTACTAAGTTTCATGATAACCGGAATGCAAATCATTAGCTATATCAGTCTACATTTCACCGCCATCGATTTTATAACATAGATAGAAGGACACTTTCTTTTACACAAAGTGCCAGCAGTGAGCAATAATATTCAGAGTAACCACTTTGTTTACCATTTCTGATAAAGCTGCCTTGAAATCAAGACATTATAGATGATGTAACTGATACATGATCATGTTGAATATGTTGTAGTATTCGGTTATTTGAGGAAAAAAAGAAGCTGAGATGATGTGTCTGGTCATAGTGTTTGTTTTTATCTCAATAAACTGGTTAAAACTTTTTAACACTGTCTTTGTCACGCTTTTGTTTTTGTCTCTTGCTGTAAATGTATGTATGTATGTATGTATGTATGTATAAATAATATTCACGTGTGCCCGCTGTATTTAGTTAAGGTTTTACCCCTTAACTAAATAACTATATAATAATAACCCATCATAAACTTAAACCACCCGGTTGTGTCAGCAACGGTAACAGCAACTGTGTTAGTCCTCCAGCGATAGGCGGCGCTATTTTCAAGTCTTTCAGCTGTAAGTCTTGGCCGGGGTGAAAGGTTTGGACGCCGGTGGACTATGTGGGAACTGTAGTAAAGCGCTCTTCTGAAGGGCATTATGAAAAACAAATATCTGTATTTTCGTACATTAATCGGAACGGCACGTCTTTGTAAAAACAAGCGGTTCATTTCAGAGGGATTCAAGTAAGTTGTTTTGCACCTGCTGTGATGTGTCAGAGGCTAACAGCATGCTAACCATACGAGGGGTTGTTGCACACCAGTGTTTGAACAAACGAGGAGCATAAAACCGACCGTAATGAAAACCGGTGTCGCGTTTTGGGAGCTGTTACGTAAAACTGTGCTGTTTGTCATAAATAACGTGCTGAGCAACAGCACATGCACAGTTTGACCTGACAGGAGCACTGTATGAAGAGACAGCGTTATGTGGCATCACTTATCCACCAGCACACTGGCTTAAAAAAAAAATTAATTGTTATTAATAAAATCTCGCCAGAAATAATCCAAATAGTCCTCTGTATAAGGTTCTGCATAAACAAACACCCATTTCAGATGAACACAGCCTAAATGCTATTAAAAATATTCTGCCTTGTTGGGTTAAAACAACACAATCAAATCAATCACCAAAGCCATTTTTCTTCTGCATTTTTCTCCCTACTGAGGGGATACAACAGCTAGAACTGTGTTGGACCCACTTTGCCTTTAAAACTACCTCAATTCTTTGTGACATTGACTCACAAAGGTGCTGGAAACAACTTTGGTCCATATTGACACAACAGAGGAATCTACCTTTCTAATCCCAGTAGATCAGCAGTTTCTAAAACATTCACACCACCCTTTCCTCCCCATTATGATGCTGAGTTCGAACTTCAGCAGGTCAGGATCCACATGCCTGAATGCACTGAGTTGCTGCCATCAGAGTTTGTGTCATTGAGTGGCCACTCCATAGTCTTACAGCAGGAGTGAAAATACAGGGTTAGGTTCATTCAAATTGTTTAGATAAACAAAATTGTAAAATAGTATTGTTTCCTCTCAAATACAGCTTGATTGTTTCGCGCCTTGGTGCAAACAGACTCAGACTCATAATCTTATTTCTTCTACTGTGGATGGTTCAATAAATGTGAATATTTCCTTATATATTTACTGTTTGTGCTCTGGTTAAAAAATCTCAGGCAGGATAAGGTTACTGTGACCTTTTATTTTTACCTTTGACCCCGGAGCAGTTGACACATCCTGATTAGCAGATCTGAGGTTTTGTGCTCTGAGAGATCAATAGTGTATTTTACAGTTGGGGGAGGAAAAAAGTCCTATTTTCCCAGTTTCTGTTGATAGGACTGTAGAATTCAACAGCTGCTTAGTCAAACAGCCTGTGCAGCACTGCCAAGCCTTCATTCGCCTCGAGGCTCTTGGTTTTGAGGATGGAGCTTGAGCTGAGGCGGCGAGTGTGGCGTCTCAGCCCGTGACCATGTGTTTCTCCCTGTTGCAGCACATCAGCAGCTGAAGCGTGATGCATCCAGAGCCGCGCAGGACAAGCGTTGCCCTGCAGAGACGACTGGCAGATTCAGCCCCTCAGGGCACGCTGAGCACCGGCCAACTGCAGGGCTTCATCCAGCGTGCCAGGCCAGGCCTCCTTTCTTCTGCTTTCTGCTCCCCAGGGTTCACGCAGCTGATGTGGCTGCTGCCCAGCCTGCACAGATGCCCTCTTCCTCCTCCTCATCATCCTCTTCCTTCACCAGTACTGCTCCTGTAGCTATCCCTTCGTCCAGCAGCCTCCCGAAAAACATCGGGAAGCCAGAATTCCCGAGCACGGGATGGGAGCGCATCAAAGATCTCTTTGACAGAGAGTTAGTTTTATTGTTACATTGTTTCACTTGTTTGTGTCTTGGTGTTTTTGAAAAGGTCTTTGTGTATATGTAGACACTGTGGTGTCGAATTCATCGTGAATCATGTAGTTGATGAGTTAAGATTATTTAACTAAACTTGCAGCATCCTTTAGTTTTCAAAGGCTTTTTGCTCTAATGGCTTCTAATGTAACAAGTTCACTCATTACTGGCTTTAAACTTACAAGGAACATTCTCGTCCCTGTTTAGTGTGACTCAGAAATACCCAGAGGAGATCACCAATGTTGTAAACAGCAGTGCTCTCGGTGCACTTGCAGGCTTTGTCTATGGGGGCTTGCCAGCAGCTCGCCACGCCAGGGAGAGATATATCCAAGTCAGCCAGGCAGAATTATACACTAATCGTGTGGACGCAGTGGTAAGTGAAATCTGTGCCTTTAAAACCATATCTGCTGTGGTTTTGGGTGCAAATGTTCCATGAATGATGTCTGTGTTCAGCTTTAATATTGTGATGTCATAGTTTCTTATTTAATTGAATTATTATTTATGGGGTCTGAAGTGGAGCATTGAGAATAATGCTGCAAATAAAAGTAAAAGTCTGTCTGTGCCTGTTCTGTCTGTCAGCGCTCAGCACACAATGCAGCTATCCGGGGGTTTATAAGATATGGATGGAGATGGAGCTGGAGAGTGGCTGTGATAGTTACCTTGTTCAGGTAAACAAAAACAAAAAACAGGTGGAGCATGTGAGGAAAGTGTGTGTAGTGTTACTTTTACAAGGGATCAAATCAGCTTGTGGATCTGGAGTATTAATAACAGGAGAATGCACAGAATGCTGAATGTCACATAAACAATGTGCAGATGTTTATTGGATGCGAGTGCTTTAACATTGCTAGCATACCTCGGTCAGTTTGTTTTGGCCTCACTGACTCAACATCGTGTGCGTTTCCTCTCCCTGTGTAGTTCTGTGAGCACGGGACTCTCCGTGTACCAAGACAAAGACGCAGTCAGCCAGTATGTTGCAGCTGGAGGTGAGTCACGTGATCTGATCAGGGCGCCTGCGGGTTGTAGTTCCAACTGTGATTGTTTTCAGTTATTTCTATAATAAATGCCCACTAAAATAGGACCGTATGTGATGATATTAAAATGTGACACGCCTGTTCAGTTACACCCAGAATCTATGTTTAATTATTGCTTGACAATAAAAGTGTTCTTTCAACATGTCCAGTACAAATTCCTGCACATTGAAATGATGAAACTCTGTATGTGAGCAGCTGTGACTGTAGGCCTTTTCAGACTGAACCTGGGCCTGAGAGGGCTGGTAGCGGGCTCGGTGATCGGAGCAGTGCTGGGGTAAGGCTGGCTTCTGCTTCTACAAGAATTCTTTGACTTCCAGTCCCAACAGTGCATGTTAAACTTTTTTTCCATCTGATGTAATAGAACATGCTCAGTCCTCAGTACTGAGCTGACTTCTATTATCAGATGCTGTGTATTTACTTTTTGACATGCATGCATGCCTTCTCGTGTATGTGTGTGTGTATTTACATTCATGCCTGTGTGCTCGAAGTCAGTGAGCACTCTGGCAGCCAGCTGCGCCCCTCCCAGCAACCCTCTGTCACCCAGCTGAACCTCCCCCCTCCTCCTCCCCACTCCCTTCCAAATCTGCTCGTGGTGCCAGAGGGACTCGTGTACCACAGAGGACAGTGTTTTGGGTACTGAACCAAGGAGACGGGCCAAGGCAGCAGCTGCCCTTCTCCTTTTATACCATCGGTGTTATTCCAGCCTCTTGTGTCCTTCTACCGTGGTCTGATGTAGACTTGGAGGTGCTTCATCCTCTGTCTCATCTTCACAGCCTGGCCCACTTTAGCCTCGCTCGTCCTTTCAGCTGAGCGCACACAGCTAAATGCAGATTGTATAACTGCAAATTGAGTGTGTTGCCTTTGATGGTGTAACAGAGGAGGGTCTAGTTTGGATCATCCCTGTGGTCAACTCCATAATGGCTTAGCCATACTTCCAGTTGGCCCTCCACTAGCACTGCTCCCTCCTCCTCTTCCTCTCACTGTCTGCTTCAGTGGCCAGCCACCTGGAGCATTTGATGTGGGCAAATGGCTCCAGCCACGGCTACGCCAGGTGTAGCTGGGGCAGAAGGGGCGGCATGAAAGCAGGCAGCTAATTGCAAAGCACATCACGCTCCAGATCTTTAACCATTATGGTTTCCTTATTCATGTCGTAGAGGTGTGAGTGGAAAGTGCGGAGGGTTCGGAGAAGCTGGGCCGCAGCAGCTGTAGAAACTGTTTAAGGAAGTTATTACAGGGTCGATGCTTCCATTGAACTGGCATCTGATATGTTTTATGTTATACAACATAGACTATCTGATGAACTGATCTGTGTAAAAGTGTGCATCACAGTTACAGTTATACACACTGACTTCTACACAGGATTCCGGTTGGTGCTCTGGTCATTGCCTTGCAGTCCCTGACTGGAGAGACGATCCGAGAGAGGCGCAGGAGAGAGCGCAGGGAACTGTATGAGCACAAGCTTGCAGAATGGTAAGAAATAAGGTATCAGAAATAAATACAAAGTGTCATTTTATCCTGATGCTTCTTGGTTAATCAGAGCTGGTGTTTCCAATAAAAGGACAGCCCGTTTGCAGTTGACGGATGAGCTGATTTCCAACTTGAATGTGAGCTCTCAGGTGGAGGAAACCAATAAGGACATGCAGAGGATCCAGGAACTGCTCAGTCTACCACAGAATGAGGTCAAAGACTCAAGTGGACAGTGAGCATGGCTGCCTTCACTGTCTGCTATCTGTTGGAATCTGGAAAATACAAACGTTCTCTTACTGAATGGAAACCGATTCAGATGAATTCATGATGCTGTTGTACAAGAAAAGTAGGTCCAACGAAGAGCTCACCTAAATGTGACATGGGATACAGGAAAAGGGTTTTAAGACTCTCAAATATGCAGTATCTGATTTGTGCCACTTAGTCCACATTGGTGTTGTAAAGGTTAAGGTGGACTTGATGTGATGCTTCTGTGTACTTTTAATACTGAAGTTGACTGACACAGTATGTCCCGTGGTTGAAATCACAAAGTCAGCATTGTTGGTCGTACAACTTATTAAAACCACATGAAAGAAAGAAAGAAACAGACTCCTCTCCAAACCAATAAATATCAATTCATGCTACAAAACACTTCATTCTCTCTGTGTGTAATCTGTAGTTTGCTTTTGACTTTGCCTTATGGGCTTTTCAGCAACTAGGTCAACCAAAGCCTCGGCCCCTGGTGTAAAAAAGATGTGACACAGCAACAGCTGGGGCTCAGGATGCAGCAGTGACTGCTGACGTGCACATGGACAGCCAATAGAAGCAGGCTGTGATGTGGAGAGCTCAGAGAGCTTCAGGTAAACGCTTCAAACGAGAAACTAGTTAATAGATTTCTCTCTTTTTTTTTTTAACCATTTAGGTTGGAGTAAAAATGCAAGTCTGACTTTTCCAGACTTAATTTACTGCTGGAATGAAAGTGTTAGCATCATATTTGTTCAAATTAAAAACCTTATTGGATTCAAATATAAAATTATCCCAAATAACCACAATGAAGCTGCAGCTCCTTTACATTTATACGTTTATACTGCATCTGAGGGATGGATCGACAAGTGAATACATGCTGTATTCACCCACTTCCTCCCATGGATCCTCCCATCAGCTTCTTAATTCTTCTGAGAGAGCAACATGGCTTCTGAAAATGAAAATATGAATGATTGCTGAGTAATTTGTTGATAGAATGACAGCAAGTGAAGTATGTTTCATAAATGGGCTCTGAGCGCCCTCTGCTGATGGCTTTGCATGAGTGAGTACAGAATACAACAGAGATGTGTGTTCAGTAACTGCGGTATTTCAAAGTTAAAAACTGCTCCACAGCTGAAACACTGCAACAAACACATGCATACTGCAACGCAGGGGACTTTCTTCTGGCCTGTGAAATGCTCGGACACCAAAGCGTTGTCAGTATTTGTTAATGGGTTGTGTCCACCGTGTGTCCACATGGAAAAGAACTGAGCTGAACTATCTAAGATGTGCAGGAATGACACTAAAGACTGTTTCTTAGTTAGCACAAGGGCCAAAAGTGGATTTGCAAATTTCTGTGAGAGTTGGTGACACGATCACTCATGTTGTGTGCGATGGGAATCCAAAAAACAAAAGAAATAAAACATGAAAAGACACTTGATGAATATTTGGAGAATATTAGATGTGGGGGTAGGAGTTTATCTTATGAGGCTGCATGAAGGAGGTGTCTTTGGTAGGTGGCACCATGAATGCCTCAACGTATACCAGAAGCTAACGAGATGACCGAGTCGCCAGAATCCTCCAGAAAAGAGATGATGACAAAGCAAAACATGTCGGCAAAACTCACGAGTGTTTCTAATACAGGCAAAAGAAAAACTCACCTGGAGAGGTGTGTTGCCTGACTTGAAACAAGTGAAACACCTTTGGGGCATCTTTTAGAGACAAAAGTAAAGAAGGCAAAGCATCCCTTTGGAAACCAAGAAGGACCAGGCCATTAAAAACAACAGCAGACAAAGGAAGCGTTTAAAAAATACAAATGTATATTTCGTCTTCTGTACCTCTGCAGCTGTTAGATATGATATGAATCAGTTTAAAGAACATTATCTGACACTGCAGTGTAAACCTGATGATCTTTGCATAGAGAGAAAGTGTTTTAAATGCCTACAAGCCCAAAACAAGCTTTTTAAATGTGCACAGTGATTTGTGTGTAACCTTTGAGGGCTCACAGTTGCATGTATCTTGACCACACGTAGAACCATTTATCAAATCTGTGCATCCAAACCTGAAGAAATACTGCTCGTTTCTGCACAACGCCTTAAGTTCGGCTTCACAAATCGGATCATTTTCTCTTTGAAGAAGCTTCCTGTGCACACGCATGTCTAAACCGACGTGTAACCGCCCCCTCGCTCTCTTACAAACTATAAATGCGCACGAATGGCCTGGCACGCACAAATCACGTCGCATGCCGACGTGGGGTTTTGGCACAACTTTGACTCAGCCAGCCTCACACAAAACCACAAATCTAAGCTGCATTCAAGTCACAGTAAAAAAAAAAGGAACATCTGGCTTCCGCTGTTTCGTCTCCAGGGTTTATCTAACCGGGCAGAGCAGAAACGAACTGAGCATTGACTGACTTTTCCCAGCAGATGAACATCCAGCATGTAGCGGCAGCTTATTTAAAGAATAAAATAATATCTGTGTTTTCTAGTGGAGAGATGAACCCATCTGTTTATTAGAAAAAAATACAATAGAAATCCAGATGTCTCCGTTTTCCACTGGGCCTTGAACGTAGCTTAGATTTTTGGATTTGTGAGAAGCAGCCGCCTGACAGTCGTCTCAGAACCTCTCCCGGGCATGTGACGCAATCTGTAGGTATCAACGATTCTTGTGCATACGTTTAAGGTTTTGTAAGCGACCAGCAGGGACGTTACGTGTGCTCACAGGAACCTTTGTCAAAGAGAAAATGATGAACTTAAAAAGTTGTGCGCAAATGATCGCAATGTGTTCAGGTGCATGTCTGTGTGTGGACTGGAGCGCTCATTTGTTAACCCTCAAAAGTTACACACAAATCACGGTGTACACTTAGTTCAGATTTGTGGATCATATCACATACATTTGTAACACTTTTGGCAAAGTTGTCTCGGGTTGATATTGTTATAAGGTATTTAATTCTTGGCTCTGATTTAAGAAGAAACTAAATCCTGACTCTCATCTTTACAAAATGAGATCTGACAGTGCTGTGTCATCACAACAGAGGTTATGGCTTCAGTTTAGCTGTCTAAGTGAGAGATGGGTCTTTACTTGGTTAGAGCAGCTGTCTCTGTGCATTGCTGGTGTCTCATCAAGATGCAAAACTTAAGTAACATAGTGCTTTGGTATAGGGACAGAATCTCTGTAGTCTGCTAAACTCAGCAGCCCTGATGTGACGTCCTATTGTATAATGCCACTATGCATCCCGGTGAGACTCTCTGCACTATTTGCATGGACATATTGGCATAAAATGGACAGATGGAGTGAAAACAGTGAAGTTTGATGTCATTTGGACGAAGTTGTCTTTTGAACTTTGAAGACGGCCCAGACTCCAGGTGCTCGCGCTGTCCTCACACACCAGCTACTGCACGTGGGGATCAGTAGGGGGAAACACACGTGAAAACCGGGGCCCTCGATATTGCACTTTCATAACTGTATCTGACTATAGGCGTTGCTTAAATGGTACGTTAAAGTGCAACTCGTTCAGATTTGTTTTGTAACGTGAAATTGTCACTGAAAATGCCGACTTAAACACTTGTCCGTGACATTAAATGACAGTTATTTTATTTCAAACATGTACGCGGTTATTTCCATAGATTTTTTTTTCCATTGGAGGTTCAGAAAGCTCACTAGGCTCATTTCTACTTTAGTTAAACACTCCGCCTCTTGTTATGCATTCACACCTGGGAACAGGTGGAGACAGTTTAGTGAAACTTTTTAAAGTGGGCTTTTAAAAAAGGCCCGTTATATCTACAGGGAGAGTGTAAGTTAATCGTTCTATAAATGTCAAATGTAAACTGTCCATATTCCATAGGTGACTGAATATAGGCTTCCCCTTCGCATAGGGGCTTGTACATATTGTACATAACAAATATGTGTCGGTTACTTAAAGAACATCACGTGATATACCCCCTACGGGCATTCCGATGTACGTCTTGGTCCAGTCCCAATGTGCAAACTGATGCTCTCACAAAGTCTGAGGCTCTCAAGTATTTTTTGAAAAGCTTTCATGCAAATAGAAGTTAAAACACGTTCTTTATTGCACATCTAGTTTAATCAGCCGTTTCTTTTTATTGGAGAAAACTGATGAGACCATTGCAATGAGCTCACTAAGTGACTTCAGTGAACTCTGTAAGGCTTTACAGAGAAACAAACCAGGGCCCTCTCTCGTTTCACAGACGACATTTAACATGTTTAGCAGTCACAGCAAGTATTCCTATTTGCTTGGAAGATGAAGGCGAGGCCAGAGCAGCTGTTTGCTATCTGCAACTTCACCACTAGCTGCCCTAAGTCGTACACACTGCTTTTTTAAAGGTTTATATATAGACTATATAGAAGTGGGTGTAGTCATTCGTTTCTCTGGACTGCAGTGTGAAGTCAGCGTATGCAGATTGATTCATTCCCACAGCCAGCCTCAACGAGCTGTCTTTTTCTTTCAGCACCAGTTGCTTTCCTGTGCTTAAGTTATTCATACACTGATCATCATCACTTGCTTATTAATTCAAGAAGCTGGATACCTGTGAATTTACATTGTAATTTTAAATGTTCTTCCGGGACCGTGGCCGATATTTGATGTGTGAACAGCATTAGCTTTAAGAGATCCTCCAAGTCCATCACTAAAAACACTGTTTCTCCAAATAACTCATTAATCACAAATAGTTCAGACATTCACAGTCAGCTTAGATATGTCTTTTCTAAACCACAGTGATTTGTATTTCTCTCTGCCAGATGGAAATGGTTTGTTTTTTTCTGTTTCAGTTGGTTAAACCCCCTGTTACAGCTTGGCCAAAAACACAGGCTCGAGAGAAGTGACATGTACAGTGTCCTTCCGGAGGATCGGTCTGAAACCCTGGGAGAGGAGCTGCAGAGGTACTTCAGCAAAAGGCTAATGTGACAAAACCAGAAGTGGTGCTGGTTAAGAAACATGTCTGTTTGTTTCAAGTTAATATTTTATTTTTTTATAGTGTGGATTGCCATTCTGTCAACCTGCCGCTGCTTGTAATATCAAGTGCTTTCGAGGGTCTGATAATTGTGTTACTGACCTGCTGCTAATTAACCTAATTAGCGTCAAAGTCCTCCAGTTGTTTCTTTTTAGTGCCACTTACCTTTGCAGCCTTCTCTTGCCCTGTCCCAACTTTGTGAGATATGTTGCTGCCATCAAATTCCAATGCAAATAATTTTCATAAAATAGTAAAGCACCTCTGTTGGAAATGTGTTTATAAATCCTGGGCTCAACTAATAAATTCATTTGATTTGCAGATGTTGGAACGAGGAAGTAAAAAAGGCTTCAAAGGAACTACGGAAGCCGCAGCTCTCCAGGGTTCTTATAAAGTGCTATGGAAAGTCCTATGCATTAGCCGGCCTATTTGAATTTTTTC